ATAAACAATAAAAAAAAATGTAAACTCCAATAAACTCCATCAAGCATGCTCTTATTATTAATAAAGATATAATTTTTAAAAACTTTTTAAATTAAAAATATGATATTTTTTTATTAATTAAATTAAAGCTATTATTTTTTAAAAATTTCAAATCAAAAGACATGACTACTTTAACTTTCCTTAAATATGATTATGTAATTGTACATAAAACTATATCTTTAATTAAAAGCCTTTGAAAAATTATAACCCTGATTAGTAATTTCCCAAATATTATATCCTTAATTAAAATTCTCCCCCAACCCCAACAACACCACCCTCCCCCCCTAAAAAAAAATAAAGCGTAGTATACAAATGGACCCAAAATCCTCCATTGGGTATAACCGTCGGCATCACTTTCTCTAACAACCCTATGCAAGATAAAAGACAGTTCGAACATTAATGCAAATATCAAACAGATCAGCAACTAGTAAGTTAGGAGCAGTGACATGAAAAGAACACAAACCAAAAGAGCTTAGATTATGATTAAGCTGTGAAGACCAGTCTTCCATCCAAGCATCAACAGTAACAAACACACAATAGGTACTTGCTCGATAGAGATCGCACACAAACATAAACAAGACAACTAGACAAATCCAAAAAGCACTGTCTTGGGTTCATATTGCTGACACACAATAGCATTATAGAAACGCCTTATTTATTGTTATAGGCCATCTTGCAAACTCGTCATCCGGCAACTTTCCTGGAGAAAGTTCCATTGGGTTGAATATGCTGGTTTTGTCTTAAATACATGTCGCCAGATCCAGCATTCCATTGCATCCCAGCCTTCATAGGAGGTGGCTTTAGATGCTGCCCCACAGGCTGCCTACGAGATCCAATTGTCATGTTTGCCAACTTCCGAGTTGCATCTGAAACCCCACGCACAGGTCTATCCTTGTTGATGGCTGCAGCTGGCAATGCGATTACTAATCAAATTAAAAACCCATTACAACAATACAATCAAACAGCAGATACCTTCAAGAGCAAGGCATTGCAATACTTACTTGGACTCTTCTTTCCTGGTGGCTGATATTTTGGTTGTCTGGTAGAACCCTTCCAGGACTTATCATTCCTATTCAAATCCTTTTAGGAGACAAAAAAGGAGAGGAAGAACACCACATTTAGAATCAATCATAATTTAAAAGAGGATAGTTTAGTTTTTTTTTTTTTTTGGTTAAAAAAAGGCAATTTACCTGATTAACCATCTCTAGCTTCCGTTGAACACCTGCAAAAATATAAACATTGAAATAAGATGAAACTGCAAGATCTCATGGCAGGCAAAAGAAAAGCATCATCTATAAGACATGTACAACAAAAGATTACTTCACAAGAATAAAAAATAATTCAATTACTTCACCTGTGCTCATATATGAATTTGACTTGGGAGAAGAAAAATTGCTATTAAGCTTCACATCAGACAATGCCCCAGAAATCCTCCTAGTAGAGTGTTGTTCAAGTGATAACCTTGATCCAACTGTAAGATCCAATATAAGAATTAAGCTAGGTACAATGAGACACTTGCAGACTCAACCTCACAAGAAGGGCGAAGATGATAAAAAACCAAGGGGAAACAGATTAGGAACACACCAGATGGAGGAGTCCTTGACATCGCAGCTCTGGGTCGAAGAGATGGTGGTACATAGAAACAGCTCTGTCAAATCATAAAAGAATTTGGTGAGCAAAACAAATGCTATAGTATATAATAATTTTGATCTAATAAAAGAAAAACATCTAGTTTCTTGGCTGAACTACAAGCAAGATTGAAAACGCTACCTGAAAAAATGGATGCTGAAGAGCCTCAGCAGCTGTTGGCCTTTTGCAAGGATCCCATGAACAAAGTGACTGTGGACAAACACCAAATTAAAAATAATATTTGGCAGTCAGAAGCACGTAACACAACTTTTACAAGAGCTGCAGAAAGTGAGACCGTAAATGCGGTAAACATAAATGGACTTAACTGTAATAAGATCAATCGCATCCTTACTCACTGATGGTATCAATGCAGAGAGATGAGCTCCAGCCAACTGCAATGCCAAACAACAATCAATGTCTTAATGCAAAATCTTTAACATCTCCAAAGCATACATACAGCAAAGCTAACTTGAGACCACAAATACCTTTCTTTTTAATTCCATGAGTATGAGAGAGGGACGAACCTGTGGAAATTGGTAGTTTATAGCTCTTGCAAGATTAAGGCCATCAGGCCATGAATCCTGAGTTGGAGTACCTATCACACTGCAAATTTTGTAGATTTCATCTGCTTCACTGCATGAATAATAAAAAGGAAAAGTTAAAAAGTAAACCAAAAACAAAACGTCACAACTAAGCAACACTTCTTGATGAGGAAACATGCTACAAGAAGCAACATTAAGATACCAACATTCATCTTAGAGAGAGGAAAATACAGGGTACACAGTAACCAAAAAACAGACATACCTGCTACCTGGAAAAAGTGGGCGTAAGGTGAACAGCTCAGCCATGATAGCACCCATCGCCCACATATCTACACAAAGAAAAAATGGTAGATTATCCGGCATTCAGTGAATACATTGTTATGTCATAAAATGAACATCTGGTTCCACGAAAAACTCACCAACTTTTGAACTGTAAACATATGATTGAAGCAGCACTTCAGGAGCTCGATACCTTAAAGTTTAAACATCAGAGTAATCACATGTGAATTAAAAAAAGAAAAAGAAAAAAAGAATTTGAAAAAAGAATCACAAAACAGGAACATACCATCGGGTAGATACATATTCTGTATATGGTGGATTTGAATTGATTTCCCGTGCTAGACCAAAATCAGCAATTTTGATTGTCTCTTTAGTTACCAACAAATTCTCTGCAAAAAAACTCATGTTAACATTTAGGTTTCACACTTAAACTAAACTTTATCCCTAGATTTTAGTGTTTCTTTCGAACTGAAAAAAAAAAATATATATATATATATATATTAATGTACAGTGAAACATTGACACTTCCAGAGAAACTCATGCCACATTTACTTTCCAGTCATTAACAGGAATCACCTGGCTTAAGGTCGCGATGAAAATAACCACGCTGATGCATGTATGAAAGAGCTTGAAATACTTGAAAACACCAATTTTTGACGTCAGATTCTGAAAAGAGCTTTTCCCTGTCTTTCATGAGTTGGTAAAGGTTGCAATCCTGAAACAAGAAGAAAAAATTGAACCTCAGATGACAAACAACAAAGCCAAGTCAAAAGAGCACCAAAAAAAAAAAAAAAGAGAAAAGGGAAGGCATTACCATGTACTCAAACACAAAGTACAGAATGTCATGTTCTCTGATCACTTCCTTAAGCTTTACGATATTGGGATGATTCATTTTCCGCAATGACTGTCAAAAGAAACAAGGCATCATGCAAATGAAATAAATAAATGAGTCATGAATACTAATAGAACAATTTATCACATGGTACCTTGACTTCTCTCAAATTTACGCACTCCTCCCATGAGTAATACTTTTTCTTCATTCTCTTAATTGCAACCTAAAATACAAAAAACAAAAAAATGAATTGAGAAAGAACACCATATTCCTTTCAATTGTTCAATTAAAATAGAATCTACAGGCACACATACCACTTCACCAGACAGCTTATTAATACCTCGCCATACACTCCCAAATGTTCCATCACCCACTTCCTTGATCAACTTGTACCTATGTCAACCAAAAAGGATTAATATCATAAATAGACCCAAAGTATAACTATAAAGATTTCAGTTCACATCCCAGAGGAAATAAAACCTACCTCTCCATTTTCCTTATGGAACAAAAGTAACTCTTTTATTTAAAAGATGAATAAGATTCTTCACTAGAAGATAGCCGATTACAAAAACCGTAAAAAATAAACAAACTGGCTTGCTGATTAGCTGAATCCACCATTAATTTTCCGCGGCGACATGCACGAACACAAAACAAGAATCTTCCTGGTGGATGGGCTTCACGGCCTTATTCAATGGTAAACCAACCACTTCAAGACTAAAACCAGGCTCCAATGGCAGGAAAAAGCGAATTTCACAGAACATATTGATACCAACAAACAGACCAGAATGATTGCTCCAGCCAACAGGACAAATCCTAAGCTCAGATGCGCTCACTCAAGGTTCAAGGACTTAAACACAGCTAACTCATCTATTATAAATAGGAATTCTTGCAGAATATTTGGTAAATTGATAACTTTTCACCCTAATCAGTACCCATCAGGAGAAACAAGGGAATAATAACTAAGAACTACAGCCTGCACACATTTGATGCGTATCTGATGGCTAATCTAATGCTAAGTAAGCAACCTTCAATCATCTACTTGCAGACTTCAGCCCTGTTGTAACATAGAAACAGGAAAAAGATACCACATAAGATCAGACTGTCAGAGAACCAGATTAGATCTTATAGATGAGGAAAGATTTTGACTCAAATATTCAGTACCTCGGAAGGCATTTCTCAATATTTTTTACTGGATGTTGTATCAGAAAGGCACTGGAAAAAAATTTTAAAAAAAAAAGAAGAAAAAAGGCAAGAAAAAATTAGCAGAGACCTATATGGTTTTGACAACAAAGACACAGAATAAGATGATGGCTTACAGAAGTGCACCAAAGATCCAACACCTAGCTCAGAAAAAAGTTGCATTATGCCTCCAGTATTGATCATTAAAGAGAGAATGGTCACTAGGTGCAGTTGACAAAGGAAACCAATAGGAAATCTCCACGGATGAGAAACCGCCAGTCAAGGACTTCTTGGAATGAGAAAACCCCAAAATGGATGTAATTTGACCAGAAGCAGACATTCTCCATGTCTTAACAAGGACAACAAAGCACTTCAAATCCAACTCTGGCGTGACCTAACAAAAAAATAACATCAGGCAAACTTAAATCAAGAAAGCTCACGCAACCAAGAGACACATAGCCAGTTACTTACCAATGTTAAGTCTATCCAAAATGCAATCCAAAAATAAATCATAAACCATGTGATTTAACATTGGCATGCAAACTTAAAAAAAATATATGGAAAATAATTTTCTAAGAGAAAACCAGTTTCATGAAGAAATCATATATGATAATTGACAAAACCACACAGCAATCACGCAGTTACGAATTCCGCCATCAGACATCATCTCAATGGATCACAAAATTAGCACTTTGATTAGAGCCAATCGCTAAACCTAGATAAGAAAATTTAAACAAACAGAAAACTCAACCAAACGCGAACAACTTCAAATTCAAACATATGAACCCTAATCGACCTTGAAAATCCTAAAACAGGAAAACGGAAATAGATCCCACCGCCAACATAATCCAAATTTAAAAACAGCAACAATCCGATAACAAAATAGAAGCTCTAATAATAATAATAATAATAATATATATAAAAAAAAACACGAATATACATTAAATAACAAGACATCTCAAACATGCATCTCAACCCTAATCTCACCGGAATACAAGTCAAACCAAAAATCGGAGAGAAAATAAGCCACCGGAAATCAGATCCGATCGAATCCGATCTGAGAGAGAGAATCTCTGTACCTGAAAACCAATCGGCATAAGCACCGTCGCCAAGGACGGGAAGAGGCGGAATCCACAGTTGCTCTATTTCCGCCTTTTGGAATGGAACCCAAACGAAAACCTTCCGACTCCGTCTCAGATATCTAATCTCGCGCAGACCAAGCAAATCCCGATTTTATAAACCTGACCCTGACCCTGTCGTGACCGCCTCATAAATAGTTCCCACTTCCTACCCCTAAGCGGGAGTGATCGTCTACGACGCGGCACTTTTACGTTGGACGGTTCAGATTTTGTTATCACTCATTATGTCGTTAAGTCTTTGATGAGGATTTGAGACGCACGTTGTTCGTCACGTGGCTTACGCTAACGAATGATTCCTTTCTTATATTTTTTAGGTTAAACCCTCATTTTGGTCCCTCAACTATGGTACTGACCCCGATTTAGTCTCTTAACTCAAAAAATCTCTGACTTAGTCCCTACTGTTTACCATTTTAACCCCAACTTGATCCTCCCGTTAAAATTCTGCCTACGTGTCCTGTTACTTGACAGAGAGAAACATGACACATAAAAATTTGTTGACACATGGGATCTACAACGTGGCAAAAACAATGATGTGGCAAAAATAATTAAAAAATTCCTTTTTTTTTTCTTTCTTCCTTAGTTTTTCCTTTTTCCCTTTCTTCTTCCTCTTCCTTTCCTCTTGCCTTCTGCAAACTCTAAAACCTTCTAAACCCAGCACACACTGGATTCGATTGAAGCCAACACACCTGGATTCGAAAAGAACCCAGATCTGGGTTGCACTTTTCATTTGAAATTCAAATTAAAGTAAAAAAAAATCAAAGAAATACCCAAATTTATTTGATTCCAAAATTTAATGCTTTCCAATTCTGCAAAATCAAATAAGTACCCAAAATAAATACCTAGATTTGCAATTCCAATTCTTATCATTCAAATTTTAATGCTTTCATATCCAAAATTGCAACAATCAAGATTTGAAAAATAAAACCTAAGTACAACTGTGAGTGTAGAAGGAACTTAGATCTAGATTGCCTCTTAGATTTGGATTTCCTCGCACCCAAAATCAGCCTTCTCCTTCACACGATATTCACATAACAAAGGGAACCCAACAAGTAGTTTAAACCCCCATTAAATGCCCTCTCAGCCTTCTAAAAAACCCAGAAAAATCAAGTATCTTCAATCAAACCCAACAACAATTCTTCAATTGAATCTAGCATTCTTCCATCAAACCCATCAAGGGTACATCAATCAAACACAGCATTCTTCAATCAAACCCATAAGGGGTTCTTCAATCGAACCTAAAAGTGCCTGTTGGGTTCGATCAATGAACCCAGCATGAACCCAACGGCACCTGCTGGGTTCATCGATCAAACCCAGTGACATTGCTGTGTTCTTGCTAGGTTCAATCGATGAACCCAACAAGCGCTTCTGAGTTCGATCGATGAACCCAGCAGCACCTTTTGGGCTCAACAATCGAACCCAACAACGTTGTTGGGTTCTTGCTAGGTTCAATTGATGAACCCAACAGGTGCTCTTGGGTTCGATCGATGAACCCAGTAGGCGTCGCTGGCTTCATCGATCGAACCCAACAAGCATCATGCCGCTAGGTTCCTGCTGGGTTCATCAATCGAACCCAGTAGGCATCAATCAAATCCAAAGCCCTTAAGGAAAACGAACAAGGATATGGGGGAAGAAGATGAGTGCTAGAGATGAAAATGAAGGGGTAACAAAAAGAAAATGGAAAGAAATTGATGTGTGGTTGAAGATGAGGGTAAAAAAGTAATTTTAGTTTTACACTTAATTTTAGATATTGAAAATTATGTGTAATTTTTATATGCCATGCTGTCAATCCTACATGTCAAAATATTTTTACATGTCATCATTTTTTGGAGACACGTAGGCGGAATTTTAACGAAAGGACAAAGTTAGGGTTAAAATGGTAAACAGTAAGGACTAAGTCAGGGATTTTTTGAGTTAAAGGACTAAATCGGGGGTCTGTACCATAGTTGAGGGACCAAAATAAGGGTTTAACCTATTTTTTTACATAATATTATAAATTAATAATAATTATTATAATATTATGTTAAAA